TACAATGGTTTATCAAGAAGGTGCTCCTATCACATGGAGAACACACACTGCAACCCCCTTATTACATCCTTCATATAACATGTATCAATCACACTCTAAAAATTAATGAGATGAGAAAAGGTTAACTGTAAGTCTCTGAGGGACAGGCGGATGAGAGAGGCAGATCAACAACCAATAAAGGACTTCTGATCAACCCAGAGAGCGATTTCAAATTCATCTGACTCAACTAGAATTATGGGTACAATCTTCCGGAATGTTCCTGGAAGAGAGAGGGCACGCAGGAGCAGGGCCAGCAACAGCAGTATTCGGGATCCCTTCATCAGAAAGGGGAGGCATTCAGGGAGACCCACCAGGAGAAGATGTTCCAAAGAGGTGCTCAGTGACCTTTAATTTTAAAGGAACATCTCATTTCTGGTGAAGAAAAAACAAGGAGTAAGGATAAAATCTTTCATCATTAGCGATGGAATAGGTCAAGAAATAAGATCAAAGCAAAAGTGTAAAATGTAATCTGAAAGTGACATGGGTAAACAGAACAGGAATAGGTCCAGAATTCGTATCCAAGGGCCTAGCTAGTTTGTAGAGCCGAACCAGTGGGAATAAGGGTGACTTCCAATACTCAGGAGAATGAAATAATCAGAGGTAGGATTCAGACCAGGGAAAGAATGTTCCAGGATGCTGGCTTTTTGAAGGCACTCAAGAACAGAGTGAAAGACTGAGCTGCAGTGAGCTAACGGGGCGGGGGAGGGGGTCCGGGGGGGGATCAGGGGGAAGTGTGGACTCACGTATCTGTCACAAGGAAATAAACACAACTCCAGGAACATTGTGACAATACATATATTATCGAGGAATACATAGAGTAACAAGGTAGTAGAAATCCACTTTATAAGTAGTTTCTTACAACAAATATAGCTTCTACTTAGGGAATAAGAAAGAGAAGTCTGTTTTCTGGATATGCCACTCTGCAAAACAGCTGTGACTTAAATCAAGAATTGGATTAAATGGTACATTATCTGGTCCTTTAAACAAATTTACTGAAGCTAAGGCTTCAAAGTTGGGACAACCAAGGAGTTTGCTTTTCCTTTGAATCTTGCAAAACCTATCCTCTAAGACAAAAAGATCTGATCATAGAGTCTATAAAAAGTCTAGAGAGTATAAAAGTATAGAACTATGAAAGTGGACATATTGATGGCAACTTGTATGGCTTCCATAGAAAGTGTGGAGAGGATCTCTGGTTTGCTTTGTCGAGGTAGCGTCCAGGGCTGGAAGGCCATCGTTATTTAGTAAAAATGCTACAGATGACAGGAGCAGGGTAGTTCAGTTGTTCTTATTGCATAAAAACGCCACTGTCTCTCGTGGCTAATGACCTTTCATTCCTGAAAAGAAATGATCTCTTGGGAAATTTCCTATCTTGGTCTAGGCAAAGAGAAATTAAAACCCGGTATTTGTTGGCTCAATGTTATTGTCTGAAGAATTCCAAGCGAGCCGGTTTTTGTCGCGGTAGGATAGTTGATAAAATTCTTGAATGTAACTTATCCCCCTTTTCATTAAAATACTTCCCGTACCGTCTAGAACAGCACCAAAATGTTGGTCACGTGGATCGGCAACGTCATACAAGTTGTCTCTTCTAGACAGTAGCTCAAACAGAACGGTTTCTCCTAATTTCTGTTTTCTTCCTTCTTCTTCCTCTTCTTTTTACAATAAAACCCTACCTACCATTCTGTTTCACTGACTGAAATCTGCAAGATGGGGAAAATAAATACCATCGGCAATGGATTTCTATTTCTGCCTGATCTCAAAATTTAAAACTTCCAGTGACATAAAAATAAACACACATATCCATTTGACAAACAGAAGAACTGAAAACAATTTCAAGAACTAGAAAATTCAGTTGACAAGCGTTTCTTTAGCGTATTTTGCCTTCAGTTAGTATCCTAGGGACAATCAAATTATAGGGAGCCTCTAACCACAATGAAAAGGTACTTCCAAACAAATGTAGTTTTTAAAAAAGATGGTACAACCACGGTAATGTCATGCTCAGTCATCAATTTAGAACAATTCATGTAAATGGTAGACTGAAAGTATACATAACTGACTTGCAAAAGATTTCTTTGAACTTCCATAAAGTCTTATGTGGAGACTCCCGGCTTGCTTAAAAAATAAGAATCAAATCACAAATATACACGGAAATGAAGCCACATGCCTTTAAACTTTTCATCTTTTCTTCATTCAAATTAAAAAATCTAACTCAGTATGAGCCTACCTGACTCAATTTGAGAAAGCAGCAAGCAGCCTTTCGTTAAGGCTAAGGAAGAGTTCATATTTGAATGATAAATCTACGAGAAAAGCATAGAAAAAGAAAGAAAAAAAAAAAGCAATGTCAGCTCAAGAAAGGCCTTGGGGAATTTTCCTCGAGTATGCCTTAACCCTACCAACGATACAAGCCTTTGAGGACAGTAAAATTAAGTAATGAGAAAAAGCCTCAATTGGATATCTATATAACGCTGAAATGTGGCCTTTGTTGTCTTTAAAAGACGAAGGACAGATAAGGGCTGAGAACTCAAACTCCTCCATGGTTCTTTTTTTCATAAACAGATAGCAAGCAGGCATGAAGTTCTGGAGTCACATGTCGGAGGGAACACACCACAGAATGCAACTTTCATCCTAGTGAAGGACCCCAATCAAATTTCCAACCCTGAGTTTGAGTCTTAAGCACATTAAACCTGATGCACATATATGTTTAAGGCTTAATCCTGCAGTTCTTGTATTCAGAAGCATGAATGTTGCAAATATTCTTAATGCATTTCATCACTTATATGTGATATGACACTGATAAGGAGTCATTACGTTCTGGAGCAGTGTTCCTGAAGACCACAAATCCCAAGTCAGGGAAGGTAATACTTATCTAGGGAAAAAAAAAATTAGAGGTTTCCAGATTGTTCCACAATACATTTCACTGTGAAATGTATTATGTGACAATGCTGATTTAAAAAAAAAAATCCTTTTTTTGCTTCTGTTAAGGGTGGTGGTGATTATTTGCTTAATACTGGTTTTCCTATGTAGTAGGCATTTCCTTATGGCTATATTCACTTGGATGAAAAAATCAAATATGACTACCTGAATTTTCCAGTGTATAATTATAGTACACTTCATAAAATGGTTGATTTAATGGTCTCAAGTCTGGAATTCAGAACTGCTGCCCAATATGGTAAATTTATGTAGAATAAAATAAGGTACTATAACCAATTAATTAAGTTGCAATTTACATCTTTAAAAAAACCATCTTAATATTATAGGCTTGGCCATTAAGTAATGATACATCTACATGAAGGTGTAGATCCATCCACAAACTTTTCATGGAATGGGAAGGAGACTGTGGAGTAAGAGGAGGCAGCCACTAAAGAAATAACGGTCACAAACAAGAAACTAACTTTCCTTATCGGTTTGGGTACCCGGGTGTCCAAAAACCAAATACAAAGATTTAAAATAACATTCTTTAGAAATTACATCCACAAACAGGAAGAAAAGTAGGTCTTGGGCTACTTTTCTGCCTCATTCCAAAATTTTCCTATGCTCATCATAGAAGAGGAAAGGCAATCATCAAAAGGAAAAAGTGTGGAAATTTTAAACCAAAAAGCTAGTAGAGAACGTGGTATTTACAAAACAGGGACTTGACCTCACTTGAGAGTTCCATTTTTTCCTACCACAGAGCTAATCAGCCAGAAAAGTGCTTGAAGCATATCTGCACATTTAATATTAAAAATTAAAAATAAATAAAAGCCAGGGTTCTGATTCAGGCAAGGATCTAAGAGCCTGAAGAAAGAAAAATGAAGAAATGTACAGATTAAAACACAGGGGGAGAGAGAGAAAGAAAGCAGACCTAGCTTTGGAACTCAGTTCTCTGAGATGGAGGAAAAAAAAACACAACACAATTTTTAGCTATACTGAGTCTGGAGAAATCTGATCAGTTAAATACGAGCAATAGGTTAGCCCTTCTCTTCAGCCTGTCGTATGTAAGCTCCTGATTGATCGTGCTCTTTCGAAGCTTCACAAACCTGGAAAAGTAACCTGTCTTAAAGGTGTTAGAGACGCTGCTCTCACCACCTGTCAACACTGTGTCACATAATTACCTGCAGCGAACGGGGCAGCAAAATGTAGGAGTTTTCCTTCCCTCGCTACAATTTAAACTGTGATAGAATAGCTCAAAGTTGTGGATATACCCATGGATGAAGAGACATTTGAAAACTCACAGTCAATTTGTTCTCATGCCAACTTCTCAGCTACTGTCAGCAACATCATGTTTGTGATTTTAGTGTACTATTTTATCTTGTCACAACAATTCTAGAAAAACACAGCAACCTCAAAACGAGCAGTGTAGCATAAGACTTCCATTTGTCGTCGCCACAGGTGGAACATGGGCAAGCTCTGGGGACAGCGAGAAACAGACATGACTGAGGACACCACCCCCCCCACCCCCCGCTTCCTCCTCCTGATGGTGAACAGCTTGACTCAGAGTTTTAAAACCCGCAAGCTTTAGGTGACTTCCCTGGGAAAGATCCAACTCCTTGCCAATCGTTCCATTTAATGCGATGACCCCACCAAGTGAAACGCGGAGGACAGGAGCGTGTCAACAAGCCTAACACACTGACACTTGAGTGTGATGCAGAGATTTGAAAAACTAGCAAGGACTTACGTCAAGTTCTGAAAGCAAAACCTCACCGTGCAGTAACCTGGTGTCAGGAGACCCTCTCAGATACAGCTAGTCTCTGAAGCACCTTTGAGTTGTACGGATGTAAGAATAACTTTGAACTATAGAAGTTATATGCATCTTTAAGAATCACATTTTGATGATTATAAAAATTTTTTTTCTATTTTACAACATAGGCCCAGCTACACTGAAAAAATTACACCGCTTATTGAAATACATTTCATTTTAGAAACAGACCACTAAAGAAGTCCATACAAAAACTCTAAAATAATTTCTGTAGTAAAATAAAGAGTGCGTTAGGAGAGCTACACAAAGAAGAAACTTCCCGTCTTTCTCTATAATGCTGGGTATACTGGGAAACACGGCCGGCCCCATTCTGAAGCCAGCACCAAAAGCTGAAAAGAATTTGTTACGATACACAGTGATACAATTAATGCTCTGGATTAATCTCACAGCCTTCCCGATTAGTACAAAGGAAACCAGGCCTGTCCCCTCTTTGAGGAGAAGCCGGGATATAAAAGCAAGCATACCTCATCAGCTGATATGAAATTATAAAATTCCACAAGTCTGAGTATTTGAAATTTATAAAAGTCACCAGAAAATGCAAGCAAATTGGGCTTTAGTTCGGTGGTTCCCCTGGTTTAGATGACAGTTCCCTCCGTGAGCTCAAGGTGGTCTTCGCGTTCATTCCCTTGGATGTGTTGATTCACCAAGACAATGACAAAGCTCTTGGTGGAGGCTGAGGAGAGTCTGACAGCTACAGAAATGCTCACCAACTCCCTCTCTGCAAACTCACACACGGGCACACAACTCGTGGAGAACACACTTAAGGAGATGGATGTTAATGATGCTGTGCTGAACTGTTCTTCTCGGCCAGGTGCCGCAGGAAGTTGTCCTCACCCGGGCCTCTATGATTTAAAGGCTCGCTCTTGAAGAGAGCTGGAGGTGGGGGGAGGTGAGGGACGGGAGGGATAGGGAGGTGGTGGGGGTGGTGAGGGTGTGGGTGGATGTGGAGGTGTGAGAAGGGGTGGGGGATGGGCCGGGGGGGGAGAGTGCTCACAGGATTCATACTGATCGGAGGGGTGGGGGTCGTGGGTGTGTTCACCACAGAAGGAACTGGGGTGGCCGGGGAAGTTGTGAGTGGGATCTGGACAGCAGGCGGCACATTCACGGGGCTGGTCACCCGAAAGCACTTTTCCTTGTGGGCCTTAAGCATGTTGGAGAAGCGGAATCGCTGGCCACACACGTCACACGGATAGGGCTTCTCGCCTGTGTGAGTTCTGCGGTGCCTCTTCATGTTGGGGCGACTGGTGAAGCTTTTGCCACAGATTTCACAGATAAAGGGTTTCTCTCCTGAGATGAACACAGACACAAAAAAAATGATTAACATACTAGGCGGTAATTACATGCTCACGCTATTCCTCACATTTAACCAGGAGATTAGCACTCCTCTCCCTTACAGCATGTCATATTCAAAGAGTCTCCCAAAGTTGGGAATTAACAAGTAAGAGCAGACAGGAGTAAAACTTACATACAACCTACCATCTGGGCATGGTTAAAAAAAAAAAAAAAGGCATCTACAGTAGTGATCCTTCACATCCTACGTGAAGAACCGTTCCAGTCAGTTCCCTGTGCTCAAGGCGGCTAAGACCGCGGCCCGTATCTCTGCCTCTTAAATTTAGGCAAAGTTTGTCCGTTAGCCATTTCTGAATTCCAAACAAAAGAAAGACTGCTAGAAATGTCCCGTGGAGCAAAGAAGTCTCTTGGTGTCTACCCGCACGTAATTAGCGTGTGGCATACTTCTTGGTGTTGGACTTGGAAAATGCTGGATGGCTCACCCGCCACCAGGACTCCCACGCTGCAGAGACTCCCAGTGCGAGAGCTGTGGGCATTTCTGCAGACAATTTCTTCATTCTGTGGGAGCACCTGGCACATCTGAAGAGCACATGGCGCTCCTAGTGCCAGCCTACTAACTGCCCCCAAGAGATTCTGACAACCCAAACTGTCCCCACACCACTCCCAAACGTCCATGGGTGTGGGGAGGGTTGGGAGGCGGCTCCTGGCCTTGGCTGAGAAGCATGGGGCTGATGAGTCAAAAAGGAAACAAAATTCCATAATTCTAAAGGCACCGAGGGAGGAAATAAGGGCTTCATTTTTAGGGTTCCTAACTCTTCTTTGGACCACAACACGGTTCCATGCTGTCTGCTGCTCTTCTACCTGGGCCACAGCGGGAAACCAGATGGCTTTTGAACATGTATGTCCGTTCGCCACTTCATACGGAATGCTAGGGTGAGCACCTGCGTACACAGGTTTCCGGGGCCATATGCTTGCACTGACTGAGTCCTTCGTCAGTTCTCAGGGTACGCAGCTTGTACTTTACTGTAACTCCTGCTGCAAGAGGCTGTTCTCGCCTCAGGTACGGCTCCCTGACCGGCGTCCTTGCTCTACTCTGCATAAATAATAGCTATGGTGTATGGAGGCTTCCTGTGTGCCTGGTCCCGTTCTAACCACTTTCCATCTATGAATTCTAGTGATCCTCAGAGCGACAGCCCGTATGAGGCAGCTGTTATCATCTCTACATTACTGATGGGGAAATTAAGGAACTTGCCCAGAGTTCTACAGCTAGAGAGCCGGGATTTCAAACTGCAGTCTGGTTCCCTCCAGAGCGTGCTTTGACACATAAAACACAGCACTTCACACCTTGATGCTTCGTGCATCCCTGCACAACGAGGGAAAGTAACATCCCTCCTGTTCTCCGCTCCGGACCCCTTCGTACACGAGCAGAGAACACCTCTTCACCCATATCATAGTCCTTATTTCTTCTGTCTTTGGAAACTGACAGCCCCCGCTGCCCTCCTTCTCTGAAAGCCAGAATTTCCTCGCTTCCTCAAGAGACTAGACTGTGCAGTCAGGAGGGATCAGTCTTGTATTCAGCTTTTTATTTTATTTTTTTTTAAAGATTTTATTTATTTATTTGACAGAGAGAGACACAGCGAGAGAGGGAACACAAGCAGGGGGAGAGGGAGAAGCAGGCTTCCCAGGGAGCAGGGAGCCCGATGTGGGGCTCGATCCCAGGACCCTGGGACCATGACCTGAGCCGAAGGCAGATGCTTAACGACTGAGCCACCCAGGGCCCCTGTATTCAACTTTTTAGGTAACTTCAGAGCCTACCTTGTTTTCCATCTTTTTAATCCGTTTCCTCCAATTACCTTAAAAACCTCAAATCTCTTAAACAGAATTGATTAAATCAAGACGGCATATCCATCTGATGGACAGCGTCATTAAAAACAGTATAACGAAAGTACAGAAATCGAATTACTAACATGAAAATCCATAATCTATGAAGCTTCTAGTCTATTAAGTAAAATGAGCAAGTTGTGAAAATGCACACATGGTATTATCCACTTTTAGTTAAAAACAGGTATGGAAAGAACTACAACAAATGTCAGTGATTCTCTCTAGGTAATGGGATGATGAGTGATGTTTTATTTTTTATGCCTACATGTACTTTCTGTTTCTCTCAAATAAACACGATTTACTTGTATAATACAATATTTTAAAAGCACACCTGTTTGACAACCTCTCAAACCCCCCTGGGCTCTCCAGAGTTAGTACTCTTTACTCCCAACAGCTATATGGAAACAGAGCCAAAGGACTCACTCTCTGAATTATTAGTCTAATTGGAGCAAACACTCTCACTTGATTCACTAATCACTTCTTAGGCACACTAGACCTTGCATCCACAAACAGGATTCATTGTAAGCTTACTGAAATATATGGACATTAACTTTCTGTTGTGTGTTCCAACCTGGATCAAATCCGGGATCTCTCTATCCATCGTCCGTTTGTAGTCTTGTAAGCTATAATGATTTGCCACAGAAAGGCCAAAAACTATTAGAACCCACCTATCACAAATCCATGGGTTCAAATTAAAAATGGGTCCTTTTTGGGGCACCTGGGTGGCTCAGTCGTGAAGCGTCTGCCTCTGGCTCAGGTCACGATCCCAGGGTCCTGGGATCAGGCCCTGAGTCGGGCTCCCTGCTCCGCGGGAAGCCTGCTTCTCCCTCTCCCACTCCCCCTGCTTGTGTTCCCTCTCTCGCTGTCTCTCTCTGTCAAATAAATATTTATCCTTTTTATTGCTTAGTAATCTTTTATTCATTTCTTAAAGTCCTGCCAAATTTTCCACATCTGTTGTTCCAGAAGTAAGCCTACAATCCCACTTACCTCTAAGTCTCACTACTCATCAGGCCCCATCTCCTAATTCTACTAATAATGAGTGATGTTAAGGTCTCCACGAGACCTCAAGGTAAGATTGTAATGAGGCTGAAGTAAGGAAAAATAAAAACCGTAACATCTGCAATCCCAAACTCCTGCACGACGTCCCACTTTAAGGAAGAGCTGGTAACTGGGTGGCTGGAAGATACATTAAAGCTAAGTCCATAGAGGTAACTAGAAAAGTATCTATATCAACATCAACACACCGAAGGGACAACACACCTAGCTGCTACATATAAAGCTAAGCTGACTGTAAGAAGCAGTACTGTAATGAGTCTGAACAAAGAACATTACACATGAAGGCAGAGTGTTTACAGGAAGACAGAAAAGAACAAGAATTTGGCTGGCTACTTAGCTGTTTTTTTGCACTGTTCAAAGGGACAAGCGATCTGGCTTCCAGTCCACTTAGTATGAATATCCTTGACTAGCGATCAGAAATCTACATATCCATATATGCAGCTGTAATCTCTCTAAAGTCTTTAGCTTTAAACCCATTTTGCAAACTGCCTACTGGGTATTTCCACATGAATGTCCTGTAGAGGTCTCACAACTAACAAGTGCAACGTTAAATTCATTATCCTACTTAGCAAACCTGCTCCTCCCTCTACTATTTTCTGTCTTGACAAATGGCATTCAAGACCCAAATCTGGGACTATCCTTTGGTTCTTCCCTCCTGCACCACCTTTATCCAATCAGTCCCCGTGTCCATCTGACCCTATCTTGTGTATCACTTTCATTTCACCCACTGCCATCACCGCGGTCCACCTCACCACCCCCATTCCCCTGGGTTATTGTGACATCCACCTGACTGGCGTTGCCTTCTCTTTTCTTGCTCCCCACCTCCCTGCCCACTCTCTACCCCGTAGGCAGGGTGAACTTTCAGACTCGTGTCACAATCTGCTCAAGACCATTCAAGAAATTCCCACTGTCCTTTAATAAAGTCCAAACTTTTTTCATGGCTTATGGGTTTTTTGGTGACCTGGCACCTGCTTATTGCTCTCTAGTATCATGTCTCATCAGACTTCCTGCCCAGCCGCCCCCATCCACCAAACTCCAGCCAACTTCATTTAGTTCCATGTACTTGCTCTTCGGCGAACCTTTCGTGCCTACCCGGCCTGACTGTGAGCCCTGTGAACCTAGGGTTGTTTCAGTCTGGTTCACTACAATAGCCCACTTTAGTAGGTTTTTAGTTAATGTTTATAAATCACTATTTGTTAATTCTAAGACATGCATTCCCTGGCATACTGACATCTCTGAGACGGACATATACCTTACACTTGATGGCATGCCATTTTTATTTGCAGCCTTTTCTCAGCAGTGTACAAATTAAGTTTCTCTTACAAGGGATGGCTTCTTGGATTTGAGGATGTATGGTACTCACCATTAAGATCACTCAAGTATCTTCCTCTCCTGTGACGCCCAGTCCCTACCAATCTTCTGATGATAATTTAGCTTCTAATATATATTTTTACTTAGGCAAAGAACATGCTGACCAAAGAAATAAAGAGTTCTGCACCATCTGCCACTCAGCTTTTTCACTGTAAATTAATAAATCAGCAATATGTCATTAAGACGATTTACCACAATCCCTCTGATCCTGATCTGCTTGAGTGCACTGCCTCATTCTGGATGCTGAGAACCAGACTCTGGAATGGTGCTTTTTGCCCTCATGATGTCCTGTATACCCCTCCATTTTATGACTTGCTACATTAAATTATATCAGAATCATTAAAATATGTGGTTCTGGAGTCAGGCTGCCTTGGACAAGTTATTTGATCTCTGAGCCTGAGTTTCCTCGTCTGATAAATGAAGATCATAATAACAGGCGATTGTGAGAAGTTGAAAATATAAGGAAAGCACTTAGAACAGTATCTGGCACATAGTAGACACTCAGTACGTTGTAGTGCTTCTATGATTATGATGATTATTATTACCACCACCATCCCTGTCCCTGAAGTGTAAGCTCCTTGAGGACAAAAACCAGGTCTGAATTCATCCTTGTGTTGCCAGGCACTTAGCGCTGTACCTGGTACAAGGAGAATCAGCAATCATTCTATACTGAACTCACCCCACATCCACACCGTCCTAAGAAACCCTGCCTCAGGGCTGGGCAGCCTCCCTGGACAGGGTCTGCCTCACTTCTCTTTAACTGCAAAGAAACAGCCCCTATCAACGGCAGTTCCTGCAATGGCCATAATCCCCAACAAAACATACTCTCAATGTGGTTACTTCCAGCCTCAAAAGAGCTATCTCTTTTCTTCAGTGCTAACCCTGCTCCTTGTATTCTCCCAGGTGCTCCTGTCATCCTTATTTAACACCAAGGAACCGGAGACCCGCAGAGGCTGTAGAGAATGCAGAGCCAGGTGTGTCCAACCCCACCAGCTGGCCACTTTCCCAATTTGAGTATTACGAGCAATATTAAAAGGCAGATGACAAACCAGGGGAAAGTATTTTTTTTTTTTAAGATTTTATTTATTTGACAGAGAGAGACACAGTGAGAGAGGGAACACAAGCAGGGGGAGTGGGAGAGGGAGAAGCAGGATTCCCGCTGAGCAGGGAGCCCGATGCGGGGCTCGATCCCAGGACCCTGGAATCATGATCTGAGCCGAAGGCAGACGCTTAACGACTGAGCCACCCAGGCGCCCCGGGAAGTACTTTAATATTGGCGTGAAACGAGGTCCAGGATATGTAAATATATATAAAGAAGTATTAGAAACAATAAAAAAAAGTCAAACACTGCAATGGGAAGATGAATACAAAAAAGACACAAGCAGTTCAGGAAGGAAAATATACTGACACTCAATAAGCACATGAAAAAATGTCCAATCTCACTTAGCAATGAATTAAATGCAAATTAATACAATAAGAAACCATTTTCCACCTGTCAAATCAGCAAGGGTTTTATTTAGCATTGGAAAGGGTTGGGGAGATGGGTATTTTCATGCACAGCTAGTTAAGAGTGGCTATTTTGCAATACATACCACCAAGTCTTAAAAATGTGCACATCTTGGGGCGCCTGGGTGGCTCAGATGGTTAAGCGTCTGCCTTCAGCTCAGGTCATGATCCCAGGGTCCTGGGATCGGGTCCCGCATCGGGCTCCCTGCTCAGAGGGGATCCTGCTTCTCCCTCTGCCTCTCTCTCTCTGTCTCTCATGAATAAATAAATAAAATCTTAAAAAAAAAAAAGTGCACATCTCTTTGCCCTAATCCCATTTCCAGGAATTTATCCTAAGTGAATAATCATGGATGTGTTAACCACAAGCTGTTTATCACAGTATTGTTTATAACAGTAGAAAAATTGGAAACAGAAATCATCTAAGTCCAGTAGGGAAATGGCTATATAAAATGGAAACAACATCCTTTACTTTATAGGACTATTGTAGAAGTTACACTGATTATATGAGGTAAGGCAGGTAAACTTAAGATAGTGCCCGGCATATATGTGCATAATAAATGATGGGTATTATTACAGCAAATTTACCAGAAGAAATATTATACACCATTAAAATGATATTGCTGTTACCACTCTGGAAAACAGTATGGAGGTTCCTCAAAAAGTTGAAAATAGAGCTACCCTACGATCCAGCAATTGCACTACTGGGTATTTACCCCAAAGATACAAATGTAGGGATCCGAAGGGGTACGTGCACCCC